GGAGCTGCCGCTGCCATGTGGCCCAAGTCCAGGCGCTGGCCCCCGGAGGAACTTGCCCAGCTGAGCCTAGGTGTGCCACCACCACCACCACCAGTGGCTCACCTGCTTTCACCAGCTCTGCAATAAGTTGGGTGGGCAGAGGAGGGGGACAGTACTGGCCAGTTGTGCACATCCCAATCTGCAGCCTCCTTGCTTGCCCCCCCCCCCCTGTGGCTGTGGTGCCCCAGCCACGAGGCACCAGCAGCAGCGCGGGGCTGAGCTCCCTCTGCACATGCCACTCAAAATCAACTCACATGCCACTTATGGCATGCGTGCTGTCCGTTGCCAACCCCTGATCTATTCTATACCATCCCTGACAGGTGTTTGTCTAACCTCTTAAAAATGGCCAAAGATGGAGAGTCCATCATCTGCCAAGTCAATTTTTTTCTAGTGGATAACCAACCTGAGCGTTAGGAAGGTTTTCCTGACATCCAACCTAAACCTCCCTTGCTGCAATTTAAGGCCATTGCTTTTTGTCAAGCCCCAGTGGTAAAGAACAATTTTTCTCCTTTCTCATTATAACTATCTTTTAGGTACTTGAAAATTATTATCATGTACCCTCAGACTTCTTTTTACAGACTAAACAAACCCAATTTTTAAAATCTTCCATCATAGGTCATTTTTTCCTAGATCATTAACCATTGTCATTGCTCTTCTCTGGCCCTCACGGCTCCCATTGGCTCTGGTTTGCTGTTTCTAGTCAGGAGGAGCCGCGGGAAGTGGCATGGCCCGGGCTGCTGCTTTCCTGTAACTCCCCTTGGTTGTAAATGGCAAACCAGAGCCAATGGCAGCTGTGAGGCTCTATGGCTACAGACCCTTTAGATAAACAAAGTGGGCCCATTGTGAACTTTGAGAATTACTGATCTAAATCATTGATGAACAGTTGCACCAGACCCAGGCTTGATCTCTGTGTGACCTCACTCATTATGCTTTTCCAGCAATGACTGTGAACCACTGATGGGGAATGAATTTGCAACCAGTTATGCATGCACCTTATAATAGCTCCATGTAGGTAGCATTTCCCTAATTTGTTTACAAGACGGTCAAAGTATCAAAAGTTTTACTAAAGACAAGATATACCACATCTATCACTTCCCCCCGAGCCACAAGATTTCTTATCCTGTAAGAGAAATCCATCAGGTTGGTTTGATATAAATTGTTCTTGACAAATCCATGCTTACTGTTACTTATCACCTTATTTTCTTCTAGATGTTTGCAAACTGATTGCTTAATTATTTGTTCCTGTAACTTCCCAGGTACAAAAATTAAGATAGTTGGTCTGTAATATAAATCCTCTGGCTCATCTTTACCCTACAGACGTCAAAATAGCTGCCTGAACATGCCCTTTCATCTCCAATGAGATATTGCTCCAGGAGCTTGCTGGAATCTATACTCCCTTTGATCAGAAACCTTCCTCAGTCAAGGTAACAACAGGTAATCCTCACGTGATCCCTCCCCGTCACCCATTTCCAGACAAACTCCAGACATGGTCAGTTCATGTGAGCATGCGCAGTATACTCTAAGTAGCAAATTCCTACAGAGAGTAGTTTTGGGTGCTCAGGGGCTAGTTAACCAGAACCAGCATTTATCCTGGAGCTTGTAACATCATTGTGGCATAAGAGGTACAGGTGGCGTCGCCTCTAAGGATGTTAGATATTGTGTAATGGAATAGTCATGTAACGGCATGAAATATTAGTGATTGCACAACTATTTGATAGTCACTGGGAGCGGGTTGGCAGCCAGTGTGCTCTCTGCCCCACTTTCTGTCCCAGGGAGCTCCGTCACCTCGCGCTTCTGCTTCTGTATCAGAGGCAGCACTGCAGGGTGGCAGGCAGAGCTGGTCCATCAGGGGAGCCATTTTAAAAACCAGCTCCCCATGCAAACTTGCTGCCTGCTGCCCCATGCTGTTGCCTCTGAGGTTACGTCTACATGGTGGGTTTTTTGCAGAAGAGGAAATGCAAATGGAGTGCTCATTTGAATATCTTGCACTCTCATTTGCATATATTCTTCCAATCATTTTTGCGGAAGAGGTTTTTGCAATAAAAAGCCCTGTATAGACAGGGCCATTTGTCGGAAAAAAAACCTTTTGTGCAAGATCCCTTATTCCTCAAAAAATGATGTTTACAGGCTTTTGCGCAAAGGGTTTCTTCCTGACAAATGGCCCCATCTACATAGGGCTTTTTATTGTAAAAAACCTCTTCTCATATAATATCTGGAGAGATGTTGTCTCATAGAGCTGGAAGGGACCTTGAGAAGTCATGTCCCCTGCCTTCACAGTAGGACCAAGTACCATCCCTGACAGATTTATCCCAGACCCCTAAATGGCCCCTGCAAGGTTTGAACTTACAACTTCCAGGTTAGCAAGCCAATGCTCAAACCACTGAGCTCTCCTTCCTCTTCTGCCCAACCTGCCACAAAAAGGATCAGAAGAATATATGCAAATGAGAGAGCAAGATATGCAAATGAGCACTTCATTTGCATTTCCTCTTCCACAAAAAACCCGCAGTGTAGATGTAGCCTGATATAGCAGCCCCTTGGCAGCAGACCCTGTCTGTGGTCTGAGCTCCCCACAAACAGAGGCTGGTCCACAGCAGCACTGGGGAGCCTACTCTGGTGAGGGGTGATTTTTTTAATGGTTTCTCACTTATGTGCAGTCCCTCACTGATTTTTCTGTGGGTTAGTGGCCACCAACCCAAAAATGATTCCTCACCTCTGTTCTATAGCATGAGCTAAAAGTCAGCAAACACTCAGCTAAGGCAGTAGAGTGGACTTCACTGTCCCTTCTCTGTGATCTCAATGCCTTGGAGTTACATGACCTTTATGTCTTACCACTTGTAAATCAGTTAAAATCTATCGATTGCTAGCTAATAAACGTCTTTTATCGAAATCAGTGTGTTTGATTTCAGCAGTGCTGATGTATATTCATTACTCTTTGTTGGTCTGACTAGTTTATGAGTGTATACAATTCAATAGATACTGAACAGTACCCAACACATTTTTGGTGGTCAAAGCTTGGGACTGACAGATATGGGGGTATTGCTCTGTACTTATTCATGGATGGCTGGGCATAGCATTAATGCACTCAGGTGTGACTTCACAGGCTGGTGGCTCTGAGGGATTAGCAGCTACACAGGTTTGTTATTCATTAGCAAAGCAGTGTAAGAGGCATCTGGGATGGAGACAAAACTGTTAAAAGTAGAAGTACTAGTTGATACACTGATAAAATCAGATGTCACTGAACAAATACATACAAAAAATGACCGTGGTCACCATGGGCCGCTATAACTAGCCACTATCGCTTGTCAGCTCTCTGGGGCTTTGTTCTGTGTCTGTGCAGCACCCAGCACAGTGGGTTCCTGGTCTATTTAGTGAGGCTCCTAGGGCTCCCTGGAGTCACCCTTCAGTCTCTACTGCAGTGGTTCCCAAACTTTTCCGCATCACGCCCCCTTTTTGATTTTTGAGAAACATTCACGCCCCCCCCTCCAAAAAAAATACCAGCAAAACTTGGGGTGGGATTGATGGGTGTGTGTGTGGCTGGGTTGCCTCTCTCCCCCCCAGGGGCACGCCCCCCAGTTTGGGAACCCATGCTCTACTACTTCCCCCAGCCAAGACCTCAGGTCACCAAACAGCAGATCGGGGCGGGGCGTCCCGGGAGTAGCCCCGCCCACGCGCTCCCGCCCCTTCGATG